TTTGGTAAATGAAACTCATAGAGTCCTGAAGGTTTCCTCTACTTCTGGTGCTGGACCACATAGATATGACTCCTACCTCCACTCACTGCAGCTCCACCCTGCTACTCACTTGATTAAGTCACTAGGCAAACATCTCCATTCAGAACGCTCTGTCTTCTCAACATGGTTGAAAACCTAGACAGTAAACTAGTTGCCTTTATAGAGCAACGTGTGAAAAGAAGCACACCAAGGTCTTTAAATGCATTCAGAGTGCTCTTTCCTTAAAAAGCAGACTATGGATTAAGGTTCCATAAGATCAGGATTTTTTGCAAACAGTTGTTGGCACAATTGTTGGCAGGATTTTTTGCCAACAATTTAACAGAGCAGTGTTCACTCAGCCTCAAAAAGAAACCCTAAAGAAGGGATGTATTTTCTTCAACTTCTGGGCCTGGAACTTCATTTTTTGTTGTGTGACTGCTAACATGGCAGGCTTTTCCCTTGTATACTATTAACAGCACCAACAAGTAAGCTTTATTTATGATTTCAGAATTTATAAGGCACTTTCCCATATTGCACCTCACTGGATACTCTTAACACTGTGCAGGGGAGAAAATGCTAATCTAAACAGTAAATCAGGTCAACGATCTAGATCTTGTAGCTTCAAACCCTGTGCCCTCTCCACCATGCCATGTTGTCTTACATATAACTGTGAGCATCCTGTTTTGCAGTTGACAAAGCTACTTCTTAAACAGTAAAGTGCATCATTCCTGAATGTGCTTGGAGTCAGGAATGATGTCCTGGATTTCTTATCCATTGTAGGAACTGCTGAGTCAAATTTTACTTTTTAGTCAAACCAGACTATCAGGGAAACTCCATTAAAATAATAAGTTTAAACACTAAGCAATGAAGCTCATTTTATCTTTTTAATTAGAGAAATTATTTAAGATTGCTTTGATATATTCCACAATTGACATGGTTCGCCTTTAGTTACTTTGTAGGTATGTGCGGCGATGGAGCCAATGACTGTGGGGTAAGTAGTGGCCAGTGTGTGGGACCACAGTCTCACACTGGATTGTACTTGCCCAGAGCCCTACAGAGATAGTATCCTCTGGGATATACACTCTCTCCACTCCTCTTGTTGAAGAAACGGATGCTGAGCATTTGGGAGAGTTTTGGCCAAAGCTACATAATAACTCAGTGGTCACTTTTACTGGGAGGCCCAGTGCCATCTCTTTCTTATGTGGCAGGCAGATTGAAGTCTGGGGTCATCTCCTAGCTAGTGTTTGGGCCCACAAGCCATCTTGTGGACAGCTTAACTGGCCCCTTTCTTATGAGGCCTCAGGAGAGATGTATGTGAGTGTGCACGCACCGTAAGCAAACTCTTTGCTTTCAGGCTTTGAAAATGGCTCACGTGGGCATCTCTTTATCAGAGCACGAGGCATCTGTGGCCTCACCTTTCACTTCCAAAACTCCAAACATTGCGTGTGTACCTCAACTTATCAAGTAAGTGAGCACTATACACTAACATTGTTTTAATCTCTCCTGCCTTCTAGGTACAGATCCCACTGTTCTTTTTTATTTTTATTTTATCATGTATTTATTTAAATTGTGTGTTTTTTCAATTACAGTTGACTTTCAATGTTATTTTGTATTAGTTTCAGGTGTGCAGCATAGTGGTTAGACAATCACTTTATGAAGTGTTTCCTCTGATGTTTCTGGTACCCAACTGGCATCATATTATCAACTATATTCCCTTTGCTTTACATTCCATGACTATTTTGTAACTACCGATCTATACTTCTCAGTCCCTTTACCTTTTTCATCCAGTCCCTACCCCACCCTCCCTTCCTCTGGCAACCATCAGTCTATTCTTTGTAACTGTGAGTCTGTTTCTGTTTTGTTTGTTCATTTATATTGTTCTTTAGATCCCACATACCAGTGAAATTATATGGTATCTGTCTTTCTCTGACTGACTTATCAGATTCCATTGTTCTGCAAGTCAAAGACCAGAGAAACTTTGCATCTTTGGGTGGGGAGGTGCTTTGCAGGAGAATTTGGTCAAACATTCTACTTCCCAGTGGACTTCCCCGGAGCTAAAATAACCCTGGGAGAACAGTGGCATTTCTAATAAAAATCACTGAGTAGGCTACTTTTAGAAAGTTGGAATCTGGCACTTGTTACTTCTTTGACAGTGTTGATCATATTATTATTATTATTATTTAAATGTATCTTCTTAGATGCTTGATAATGAGGAACTGAGAGAAATTTTCTCTCCCCATTTTCTTTCCTTTCTCTTGCCTCTTTATGCTACCTTGGGATATCCTTCCCATCTCTAGTTTCCAAAATATTTATTTTTGCTGCTTCTACTAAAATTTCCCTTGGTGCTTTATCTCCACCCCCCACCCCCTCGAATATATACTTCTGGTACATTCTTTAAATGACAGAGGAAGTTAGCACTGTGGCTGCTTTGGGTTATTATAACTAGTATCTATAATAATAAAAGCATAATATGTTAATTAGACTGGATGACCTTCCAGACGAATCTGGGGCTGCGAGGGCCAAGGCAAGCCGTCGCAGCTGCGAGGGCTGAGCCTTTTGCACAAATTTTGTGCATTGGGCCTCTAGTGTGTTTATAAAGTGTTTTAATGCCTGTTTTCTTATACTTCAAAAAGCCTGGAGATGTAGGAATGGTCACTATTTTTTCTACAAATAAAGAAATTGAGGCTATGGGAGGGGGCTGGGTTGAGGCAGGCAAAGGGCAAGGCAATCCCTTGCGGCTGCGAGGGCTGAGCCCTTTGCACAAATTTTGTGCATCGGGCCTCTAGTGTGTTTATAAAGTGTTTTAATGCCTGTTTTCTTATACTTCAAAAAGCCTGGAGATGTAGGAATGGTCACTATTTTTTCTACAAATAAAGAAATTGAGGCTATGGGAGGGGGCTGGGTTGAGGCAGGCAAAGGGGGAGGGGAAACATAAGGACATGTGTAATAGTGGCAACAATAAAAAAAATTTGAAAAGTAAAAATTTTTTTAAAAAACGAAAGAAATTGAGACGCAGAGAATGACCCAAGCTGACACAACCATATAGGATTGGAGATGGTATTAGAATTAATTTTGTTTAAATGTGTTTTATCTACAAATGCCATACTCTTTTCCCCACATTAAAATGATGATTTGGCTAGCTCCTTCCAATTTTTATTTCTTTATTTATTCATCTGTTCAACAAACATTTATAATGTAGACACTTAGTGCCGGGAACAGTTGGAGGCAGAAGCGAGTAAATCAAGCGTCCCTCCATCGCATGACGTTTTCCTCCAGCGAAGAAGTCAGGCAATAAACACACGCACAGATAAATCAGGGCCGATGTGAAGGGTAGGAAGATGACCAGGGAGGTGGAATTGGCTGTGCCAGGTGAGGTGGTGTGGGAAAGCCTTTCTAAGGAGCTGAGGGATGGGAGAAACCGCCTTCTAGGCAGAGCGAATGGCAGCAGCAAAGCCCTGGAACAGGAAAAAGCTGGGGGTGAGGATAAGGCTTTGGAATCCCAGGAAACCATTACAACCAGAAGTAAATTTACACTCTATTTTTTTCCCAAATGAAAGAAATAAAAGTGGCATTTTACAAGTAATTTATTTTATGCTTTTATATATATATATACCCTTTACCCACAGAAAAACAATAGTAACAAAAATGAGCAGACTCATTGTTCCTATTTAAATGTGATACATGACTAATTTGAATGTGTATATTATTTTAGTCAGTTTTAGAAGAAGTTGGGACTCACAAATGAAATTTGAATGAAATATTTGTGCAAACTCCTGAAGCAGCTGCATGAAACTAGCCCCCAAACCTGCAATGTTACTTATAGTCCTTGGTTCACAGATGAAGAAACGTGACCCAGAGAAGGGAAATGACCTTCCAAATTACATTAGTGAGTAGGTATGAGATCTGGGACCAGCCCAAGTCCCCAGACTCTGAGCTAAAATAATGTCTGCAGAAAGGATAAGAGTAGCTCTAAATCTGGCTCTCTGGTTGGATCGCGGCCCATGGACCTTGCGGTGGAATTGGCCTTTCCTGAAAATGTAGTCATTTAGCTCCCTGACAGCCGCTCCCACTGGCTAGAGGCTGTCCCGTCTGTCAGGCACACAATGAAGTTAGTCAGACTTTTGATCTTTTCTCCTGAGCTCAGCTGAACAGCACAGAATAACTGATCTCATTTTGTTTCATCACTTTCATTACTTTCTCGTTTCTTTTCTCACACAGGGAAGGACGCGCTGCCTTCGTTACCTCATTTTGCATGTTTAAGTACATGGCTCTGTACAGCATGATTCAGTATGTTGGTGTTCTGCTGCTCTACTGGGTATGGCTTGGGACCTAGCCTCTTGGCTAGTGAGAACTGGGACAAGGGGCGGTGTACTCTCAACACGCAATGCCTCTTAAAGTGCAAATAGGAGATTGGAGCACTCACAGCCCTTCTAAAAATGATCGTTCATGTTTTGAAAATAAATCAGAAATAGATACATGCACACAGGAAAAGCTGTTGGTGTGAGTTCTCTGAGAGAGAATTATCTAGCGGTAGTTGAGGATCAGAAAGGAACACATCACTTTCTCGCTGTTGCTTTCACCAGCTTAGACCGGGTCTCTATCTTTCCGGTCCAATGTGGCTGTCCTCTTGCATACCACTCATTAAAGAGTTGATTCTCTGATTGGGTGCTGGACTGTTTCAAAACTGGCTCTCCCTGGAAAAATAAGGCCTGCTTATGAATGTTTGCCAATTTTAGTGGTGTAAATGCTCCCACCATGGCTGGAGTCAAGTGATCCAGCTGAACATGGAGTCGGGGAGACACGTACAGTAGCATACTTTATGTAGTACTTGCACCATATAGATACAAGAGTTACAAATAATCTCAAGAACATAGATAACAGTAAAGTATAGGAAAATGATTGGGAAGTGCCAAGTTTTGAGTACTTATTGCCTCTGTTTTCATTATAATTCATTTAATAGTAAATTTGTATTATTTAAGATTTTATATAGGCTGTGTTTAGCAACCAGGTCACAAAATTTCTAAAAATCTAGCAATAGACTCTTATGAGCTAGTATAAGCCAGCATATTACTGACTCTCTGCACATAGGGATTTAAAAATTGACATATTGTACCACAAAACACACACATAGGTCTTGGGAGGGCTTTTACTATTTAACCGAACATAAAAGGAGAATATCCATGACTACTGCTTGTGGACTCAACATGTGGGGGCTTCTTATATTAGCTATCACAGAGAAAGGGAACTCTGTTTGTGCTGGAGATATCTAGATTTATCTCTATGTCTTGCCCTCTCCCTCCTGGTTTGAAAGTTTTAGCTCTGTTACCTTTGGATTACCTATGTCTTTTCCCACTCACTAATGAATGAACTGGAGAAGAAGTTATTTGTAGAGATTTGATTCTATTTTTAAATCACAATAACTCTTGCTCAAAACTAGAGTTAAACATAGGTCATCATTATGGCCTTTCCACCAAGGGGTAAGTTACTTGAAATATGTAAGACATAAAGAACATCAAGGTGCTTTATCAGGGACTTTCTATCAACATCCAAGAAAGCAAATAGTGGGTTCAGTTGTCATTTTCCATCAGTAAAATTTAGGTAAGATCATCACACATTTGTCAGTTGTTACTATTGGGAATGCACTCTTTTAGTGTCAGATGACACCCCAACTTTTCTGCTAACAAGTAGAGAAGAGAGCAGAGATGAATCTGGGAGAGTGAGCTATTCCCCTCAGCAAGGGGAGATAGTGATGCACAAAGGACCCAGCTCAGAATGCACATGACCGGGGCCTCCTGGTTGGACAGGATTTCACAGCCTTGCCTTTGGCACTCCCACCAACATAAACAGGCCTCTGACCACACCATCTTCTAGGTAATTTACTTGACAATCCTAAATTGCCATGAGAAAGTGAACGAAATTGATGTCAAACTTCATCCAGAAGGTCACAACTCTTTTGAGCTGTTTTCCTTTTTATTTTCAGGAGACCAACAGCCTGTCAAATTACCAGTTTCTGTTCCAGGATCTGGCCATTACAACTCTTATTGGTGCAACAAGTAAGAAGTTTTTAAATCTTTCTTCCCAGGGGTGCTCCCCAGAAGGCCCCCCAGGAGGGGAGGACAGCAGCTGCAGCAGATGTGATGTTTGACTTATTCCCAAAGGTGTATACAGAGAGGGAAAATGCTAGCAAAGGAAAAGCTGGCTAGTCATTTTGCTATTTTTCACAAAAGTTGGAGCATCCATAAAGGTCACGAAATATTAAAAAACAAACAAAAACAACACCTTGAAAATCAGAAATGCTGGCTTTGGTGTGCTTTTACTATTAGATATAGTTATAAGTGAAATGTGCTTAACATATATCTTATATGTTTTTCATCTCCAAATCATAGCTTCACAAGATCTAGAACAGAGAAAGGTCCTCTTGCCATTAAGCCACTTCCACTCCCACCTTCTAACTAATAAATGAATGTCTTTACAATTTCCCTGCTATGGCATTTTCTTCCTACCTGAGCACTAACAATCATCTTTTCCAAATTCTCTGCTTTCCTCTCTGTTACATATAAATGCCAACAGCCCCACTTGTACTTTAAATCCTACCTCCCCTTACCTTCTTAAGAACTTTGTTCATGTAATAACCCCTTCCTCCATCATGTTCATCTTTTCTCTGGGCACTGGATCATTCCCATCAGCATATAAATATATTTCCATACCTTCTTTCTTTAAAAGTTCTTCCTTTCCCAGCAGGCGTGGTTCAGTTGTTGAGCAGTGCCCCAAGAACCAGGAGGTTATGGTTCAATTCCTGGACATGCCCAGGTTTTGGGCTCAATCCCCGGTAGGGGGTGTGCAGGAGGCAGCTGATCAATGATTCTCTCTCATCATTGATGTTTCTATCTCTCGCCCCTTCTCCCTTCCTCTCTCTGAAATCAATAAAAATATTTAAAAAATAAATAAAAGCTCTTCATTGACTAAAATCCACCACTATCTGTTGTCCCCCTTATTGTCAAACTTCCCAGTTAGTTGTGTATGCCCACATTCTCCACTTGCCATCTCTAATTCTATCATTTCAATCAGCCAGATTCTAACACTTAAAGACATGAATTTGGATGTTTGGTCTGTGCTGATGTTTGGTAGGGGATAGAGTGGTAGGTTGGCAAATGTTTGACAAATGGCTTTCCTCCCAAAAAATATGATTTTACATATATGCACATAATTTATCATAAACTTTACTGAAAAAAGTGTGGTGAACAATTTTCAAGTAATAATCAAATATACAATGTCTTTCTTGTAAATTCCAGTCTGTCAATTAATTCTCACAAAATGCTTTCACTGAATTTTACCAAATTCTTATGTCCATAGTCAACCTATGCTATTGATGACTGAATTAGTTTTCACATAAAACTTTCTTGACATTTTTCTTGCCCTGAATGACAAAACAACAAAAACTTATGTTGAAATTTTAACCATTCATCAGTGATGTAAACAACTTATTTCTAAATTACTTAATGGTTTTTGAATACTGGAAGAATATTTCCTCAGTAAAAAAAAGAAAAAATTTGTGCATGATGTAATGACTACAGACATGACACACTTTTAAGTGTAATCTCCATTATTAACTTCAAGAACATAGATAATTCTAAAATATAAAATAATTTAAAAGCTATCAGTTTTGAGTGTTCATTATCTTTGCTTTTCATATATTTATTTAATCGTAAGTTTACATCCTTTATTTTTTATAATGGCTGCGTCTAATAATTGGCTTGCAAATTTAGCAGAAATTGGCCTTTGTGAGCCAGCCCCAGCCACCACTGGCTGGAAGGATGCATGCTACTGAGGCATGAAAAGGTACAAGTCTCCCCTTGCCTCTTTACATGCCTCAGGGTCTTGCTTCCACATTATTTCTTCTTATATCTTCTCATCACAATCTTAACAACCACCATGCCAACTTATTTTTAAAACTTGTTCAAAGACTGTTTTTGGAGAACGTGTTCAGGGGGAGGGAACTACCATCACTGCTTCAGCAGCCACCTTACTGATGCTGCTCTTGTCAAGTCCACCAGTGACTTCCGTTGACGGCAACGGCCACTTCTCTTTCCTGATTGTACTTGAATCTCTCAACAGCACACTCCTTCAGCAGAAGTTTTCTTCTCTGGGATGTGACACCACACACTCCTGGATTATGTATCACTTCGGTGAAGACAGTTTTCCTATTTCTTTTGCTGACCTCTGCTTCACTACCTGTCTTCTAACTTTTGAAATGTTACAAGTCTTCATTCCAATGTTCTTGGATTCTTTTGTCTTTTCAATCTACACTGTCTGCCTAAGTGAATTCAACCAATCCTATGACTATACATGCTGATATATCCCAAATTTACATCCCTTGCCCTGATGTCTGTCCTGAGCTCTGGAAATGTAGCTACTCAGCACCTAATGTTGGATATTTAACAGAATGTAGGCCTAGCATGCCCAAATAGAACTCTTTATTCTATCAGATCGTACAGCTAACAAAACCATTAAATATTTACTATTTAGTCTGTACTACTTCCTGAAATAGGTGTAAAAAAAACTAGTAAAATGGAGTAAATATTGTCAAGAGAGCAATGCAAAATGGAATGGGGACGCCTCTAGGAAGCGGAGCTAACTCACCTCCCTCCATGTGAAACTGAACTTTTGAACTGAGCTAAACTACAAATGGCTACATCCTGAATTGGCTCTGCATCACTGAACTCTCTATTAAGAAATAACAATTTCACCTAGAAACAATTAATCATGTATAGCATAGCGCAAGTCTGCCTGCCAGCACCTATCACAACTCTCTCAAAACAGCTTGTATAACTCCTTTGGAAACGCCACATTTTTCTGTCTTTCCCTTGGCACACAATCAGGTTTCTACCCAAATCTGTGTGCCATAAATTTCATTTCCTAAGGCCTCAAATAAAGCTTTTGTTTGCCTTGCTGTTCTTGGTCAGCATTAATTGATATTGGCACTTGAAATATGTCAGTGAAAAAAAACACACACAAATAAAATTCCTTAAAAGAGCACCATTAATCTACCTAGTTATTCAAAGACCTGGAATTATCCTTAATTTCTCTCTTTCTTTTTTTTTTTAGCCTTCACATACAATACATATGAAATTCCTATTGGCTCTACCTCCAAAAAATATTCTGTATCCCTTCTCTCCATCTTTATGGTAGCCACTGTCACAAATCATTGTCACTTCTCCTGTAGATCACTGCAATAACCATACAACTGTCTTGCTTCCACTCTTATTGCCATCCCCTCACTTCCATTTACCTTTCAAACAGCGATAAGAGGGCTAGTTTCTTTTTTAATTTAAATATTGTTGTCATATTCTTGCTTACAATGCTCAAGTGGCTTCTCATTTCCACTAAGGCCAAAGTCTTCCATAATTTATTTTTGCCCACTTCTCCGACTTTATGTCTAACCACATTGCTACTTATGTACTGTTCCAGGCACCCCAGTCTTTCTGTCTCTTGAGCATTGCCAAGTTGTGGTCATCTCCACACCTTTGATTTTGCTATTTCCTTTGCCCAAACTACTTTCTCTTTAGATCCTCATGTGACTTTGACTTTCCTTTATTACTCAGATTGTAGCTCAAATGTCACCACGTCATAAAGGTCACTTTAAACAATGACCAAGCCAGTTATTGTGTAGCACACAATTCTGCTTTATTTTTTCACAGTACTTGTCACAGTCTGAAAGTATGATATTTATCTGTTTTATATGTTTTTCCTGCCTCCCCTCACCCAGAGTGTGCACTTCATGAGAGTAGCACCTTGTCTGTCTTGATCACTGCTGTCTTCCCAGGGCCTCTAATAGAGCCTGACTTAGCAGAGGAGTTCATTAAATACTTGCTAAATCTATTGAAAGAACACTCTTGGACAGTCCTTATCGTTAACAGAGTTCTCTTTACATCAGGCCAAATCTATCTCTGTGTCACTTTCCCCATCACAGTTCTGCCATTTGGGGAGTCACAGCATAGTCTGAATTCCTCCCCAGGACAGTCTTTCAGATATTTGAAAACAATTCTCATTTCTTCTAAGATAACAAGCATCTCCAGGGTTTTTTTTATTTTATATATATCCTATACTAGAGGCCCGGTACATGAAATTCGTGCACTTGGGCGGGGGGCGGGTGGTTCTTCAGCCTGGCCTGTGCCCTCTTGCAGTCCAGGAGCTCTTGGGAGATGTCCAACTGATGGCTTAGGCCTGTTCCCTGGCCTCAGACATTGTTAGTGCTGCCATGGAGGCAGGAGAGGCTCCCACCCCCGCTGATACGCTCACCAGCTGTGAGCCCGGCTTCTGGCTGAGAGGCACTCCCACTGGTGGTCAGTGCACATCATAGCGACCAGTCATTCCACCGTTCTGTTGATTTGTATATTAGCCTTTTATTATATAGGACAATAAAAGCCTAACATGCTTAGTGTCTGGCCGTCCAGTCATCTGTTCAACCAATCAAAGCATAATTTGCTAATGATATGCTCAACCACTCACTATGATGTGCACTGACCACTAGGGGGCAGATGCTCCAACCGGAAGTTTAGCTTGCTGCTGGGGTCTGGCTGATTGGGACTGAGCAAGATGGACCGGACATACCCTGGAACTCTCCTGCAGCCCCTCCCTCCAGCTGGCCCCACCCCTGATGGGGTCACGCCCGTGCACAAATTCGAGAGGAAGGGAGAAGGAGAGAGAGATAGAAACATCAATGATGAGAGAGAATCATTGATCATTGATTGGCTGCCTCTTGCATGCCCCCCAAACTGGGATCCAGCCCGCAATTTGGTCATGTGCCCTGACGGGGAATCAAACTCCTGACCTTCTGGTTCATAGGTCAGTGCTCAACAACTGATCCATGCCAGCCAGGCTCAGGTAGTGTTTTAACAGAGATCTCCTTGAACTCTGTCAGTTTAAAAAATATGAACAAAGAAATACCTCCCCCAATCTTTGCAGATTGGTTCTGTGCCGGGCACTTCAACACTTAGCCAAGCTTGTGTTGAGTCTAGAGATCATCCAGAGCTGAAAGCATAGGGGTTTTCTGGTCATTTCTGAGCATGTATCTTGTCCTGGTCATGTACATGGCTTTCTGTATTCCCCCAGTACGCACAGGTGATGGTGAATACCACCATCTCCCAAAGAAACTTTAGCTTTTCTTTCCAGGCTTTAGGCATTTATTTTATGTGTCATCTTTTGCCTCAGTGACTGCACGTAGTTTGTTAACCTTGCAATGCTTTGGAGCAGTGCATGCTGCTTTCCCACCCCAAGTAAGTTTTGCATTAAGTGAAACAGAGATTAGCACCTTGCACCAGGGCTTCAGGAGTCCCCAGACAATTTAGAACAGACATGCAGAATAATTTGTGGCTAAAGCCTGCTCTTCCCTCTCTGTAATAAGGAAGCAGGGTCTCCCACCTGATATGTGTGCTACCATCTTCACGTTTGTAACTGAACTGGGGGGAAGGGAGGCAATGGCAGGTAAGAATGCACGGAGCTTTCCTAATATTTTCAAGTTGCCTTTTTCTTGATTCAGCATTTGTTTGGATGCTGTAAACCTTTGTCTATTTTTCAAAGTTCTGACAAAGTTGGTTCTTACAGTTTCTGCTGGTTTTTCAATGTTTCTAATGGAGGGATGGAATCTTGGAGCTGTTTACTCTGCTATTTTGCTGATGTCCTCATAGTTTAATTTCTTAAGTATTTGAAAGCATTACATCGTAGGGACTGCATGTTGTTCCATTATATAGATGTGCCACAATTGATGCTGTGATGAACATCTTTCTATATTTCTGATATTTTTTTAGAATAGGATAAAATTCCAGAAGTGGAATAACTATATGAAAAGTTATGAAATTTTTTCAATCTCTTCATATTCATTAACAAAGTGCCCTTCAGAAGGTTTTTATCAATTTATATTCCCACACGCAGTATAAGAAAAGTGTGCATTGAATACTCCCTCACCTATAATGTAATAGTCTTTGCCAATTTAATAGACACAGAAAGGGCATCTTGTGGTTGTTTTATGTCTGCCGCCTCACCAATTTCTCATATGACTTCAATTTGAATCTACTATTGTATTGTTCATTCAGTTTGTGACGTACTTTGATTTGTCAATTTCCTCAGATATGTGGGCCCAAGAAGTTACACTGTTTTTCTAAAGAAGAATGTAACATTTCCCTGCTCTCATATATATAACACTTGAATTTATTTTACAGTGAATTTGAATGGTGCCTACCCCAAGCTAGTGCCTTTCAGACCTGTGGGAAGGCTGATCTCCCCACCTTTGCTGCTCTCTGTGATTTTCAACATACTTCTCAGCCTGGCCATGCAGACGGTGGGCTTCATTCTGGTTCAGAGGCAGCCTTGGTACAACATGGGAATGTACAGGTAGGGTCACAGACTTGATGCCAGCTTCCCACTCTCTAGTTTCTATCACACATCACATGGCCCGTACGGCAGGAGGCAACTGAGTCTTCATTCTGCCAAAGGATTTGGCTTCCTTTAGTCCCTTGGGTACTTTTCCAGAGACCTTCGTTTCTCTGTGATACAGTTTGATAGTAACATTCATTGGCCCTCATCTTTGCCTGTCTTAGATGATCCTCTATGACCATCTTTTCTATCAAGGCTGATCATGCATTGTAGTTTGCTTGGACATCCCCAGTTTAAGCCTGATAGCCAATGACATTATTAATATCTTTTCTTTCCTCATTCAAATCTGTACCTGCTGAATGATAAATTATGTGGTCACTCTTAAAAATGTTTAGAGATATTAAGACACCAGGGGAAAGATTCATGATGTATTCATCTCTCTCTCCCACGTAGCATTAATATGCATGATTGGTGCTCAATTTTTTAAATAAATAACTTGGATCTATCTATCTAATCTATCATTTATATATCTATCTATCCAAAACATGGCTCTATCTGTGCTGGTTTCTTTCTCTTTACTTTTCAGTAAATTCTTTCCCAAAGTTCTGGCAATTATAGAAACACTGAGGCCATGGAGTCTTGCACGTATTCTCCATCAGTGTCTGTCATCTTACTTCATTGGTTTCTTTGGTTTCCTTTTTAGTGCCTGCACAGTGCAAAATAAAAGCATTTCAAATTTAACCATGCCACCAACTGCTCCAGGAAAAGTTGAAAGTAATGATGGCTTCCCAAGTTTTGAGAACACAACTATATGGTTCTTGGGAACAATCAACTGCATTATTGTGGCTCTTATCTTCTCTAAAGGAAAACCATTTAGGCAGCCGACCTATAAAAACTGTGAGTAGAATTGTACAGGGTCAGTGGTGAGAGGTCATTGGAGAGGAAGACACACATGCCTGGGGTCATTCAGGGAGCCGCCGAAGAGTTGGCACTTATTCAGGGTCTCCTGACTTCCACTCCAGGTTGCTGTAAAACACACTGTGCAGCCTCATTTTGTGGTCTTTTGTTCCCTCCCTCAAAGCTGTATGAAATGCTAAGGCTTCTTTATCCACCTCTTACTTTCACCAGAAGTCTGTCTCTAGGTGTCTTTCCATGGGATCACTCCAAACTGGAAAGACTCATTTATTGCGCTGCCTGTCAGAATTCATCCTGGGGGAGGAAGGGAGGAGGAACACAGCACTCACTTGCAACATGTCTCCTGCCATGAAGACAATGGGCAGGTTGGCATCATGTGGTTGGCCGGCTGGGAGTGGTTTCAGGCTGGAGGAACCTGACTTCAGAGTTGTGGAGGCTCTTGGCCAAAGCATCTCCTACTTCCTTACATTCTGAGCTGGGAACAGAGTGTGTGTTAGAAATATGGGACCCGCCTTCAGGTTATTTATTTGGACACCATCACTACCCCCCTCTAATCGGAAAAATTTAGAAGCATAAGTTGAAAAATCAATATCCTCATAAAAGTTTGTTCAGAGAAAATTGTGTTGCCCTTCTTCTTGGAATGACAAAGCAATAGAATGCTGGCCTCTACATGATTGCAATTCAAACATGTTTATTTACAGCCATCCTTTCCCCCCGAAAAAGATTTGAGGTGGATGATTTGCATTAAAGACACTCAGATACTTGAATGCCTTCAAGGCATTTATTCTGTAATAATAAAAATAACTTCTTGTAATAATCTAAGTGTACATCGTCAATGTTACCCTCTATCTATTGCCACTTGCCTCAAGGACATGCATAGACATTTTAGAGGTGAGACCCATTGCATAGAAATGAGTACTTTCCATTGATTATGCTGTGTTTGGATGTGGAAATCAAGTAAATTTAATCAGCATTAATCTAGAATATGTCTTTCAATAGATGTGACACTCTACATTCTGATTTCTCTAAATGATAGCTTGTGTTTTTATTTCCTCAGATATATTTGTCCTTGTGCTGATTGTACAGCTGGCTGTGTGTCTATTCATCCTATTTGCTGATATTCCAGATTTATATAGGCGTTTGGATGTAAGTCTTATTTCTGGGATATGATGTTTACAGTTATTTAACACCCTGAATTCAAAAAGCAGGTCATGACTGCAACTGACATGGATTCTTGGACACCAATTGTTCTTTTAGGACAGCTTTTTAAAATGCTGAATTTATTCATAATTTTTATTTAAGCTGGTCTAGTATTGATTTCAAGTATTTCAAAAGCATTAAACACTTTTCTTTTATATTTTATTGATTTTTTTACAAAGAGAAAGGGAGAGGGATTGAGAGTTAGAAACATCGATGAGAGAGGAACATTGATCAGCTGCCTCCTGCACACTCCCCACTGGGGATGTGCCCACAACCAAGGTACATGCCCTTACCGGAATCGAACCTGGGACCCTTGAGTCCGCAGGCCGGTGCTCTATCCACTGAGCCAAACCGGAAAGGGCAAACACTTTTCTTTTAAAGGGATTCCCTTTAAGATTGGAAAATCTATTTATACATTTTTTCAAATGTGAGAGAATTTCCCCCTAAATGCTTTTGTTTTGAAGCTGTTTAAAACAGAATTGCCTATAACACTTTTTCAGTTAATTCTTAAATTTGTATTTACATCTTTCTTGTTTACCTCTTTAGAAATGTATTTTTCTGATGTTCATACTTAATGTCAGCAAAACTTACCTTAAATAAAAGCCATGAACTCTCAGATTTTTGTTACAACTTTGAAATAAGAGAAATTTTATAAGTACAAGCAAGGGAAAGTAATATATTTTGATTTTCCTAACCTATCCTACATTTCAAATAGAAGTTAAGCATTACTAAATGCCTTTTAGACCACTAAATAGAAAGCAGAGAGAAGATCAGAGAAACTGAGTTATTTTTAACTTAGTGCTTTGCAGACCTGCTCCCTTCCTCTCTGACTCAAAGACAAGTTTCACAAGGGCCAAGATCCTATCTCATTTGTTCTTGTGTAGACAGTGCCTTGCCTAACAAATGGGTACAAAATGGCAACAAATGACTGGCGGATGGTTGTATGTCAGTTTCCTAAATGTAGACAAGCACTTGGAGCACACAGTGTATTCCAAACCGATAGTACCTTCAGAAACCCAGTGAGACATAAACTAGTGGTACATTTAGTTTTTGTTCTTGTAATTGCACTAGAGGCCTGATACACGAAATTCATGAAATAGTAGGCCTTCCTTCTCTTGGCTGCTGGCACCAAGTACCCAGGCTTGCTTCCCTCTGGCTGCCTGCAAGCACTCGGGACCCCGGCTTCCCTCTGGCCCTGGCTTCATCTGGAAGGATGTCTGGAATGACGTCCAGAATGAAGTCTGGTCTAATTAGAATATTACTCTTTTATTATTATAGAGCACTATGGTTAACACTGTAATTGCCACTGTTGTTAAGTGTCTTCATAAATTACATTAAGTACTTATGAAGATAGTCTTTGTCCTTTAGTTTTCCAAGTGGGTTAAAACTCTGTAGCCCTGCAGAAGTGAGGATTAAGACATGCTGGGCTTAGTCACACTCTTTAATAGTGAGCACTCTAACTGGGAGGCTCAGACCCCTGGCATAACGAAATAAGGAACATATTTGGTTGGGAGGGAACATGTGTGAAGTCACTGCCAGCATGATGGCAAAGGATTCTGCAAAGAATTATTGCTTACTCTAAAAATAGTCACTTTTCTTATTAGTGCATAAAATTGTGAGTACATTTTAGAAATGTGAATATGCAGACAGGCAGGGAAAATTATAATATTGTTACTTTATCCTTTCATCTTCGAGAATGCATATATTATAAATGTGCACTGTCTGATTTATGAAATTTATTTTCTTTAAAATGAAATCATGAGGTTTTGCAACCTAATTATTGTTCATTTAAAAAAATGCATGAATTTTTTTAAAAAACAGAGGATATATTCACATATTTTAAAATTCAAAAGTTAAAGTTATGTAGTGGAAAAAAAAATCTTCCTTCTCTCTTTGTTCCCCAGCTACCAGTTCTCCTTTCTGGAGGCAACTGATGACACCAGTTTTATTTTACATAATTTCAGACATATTTTGGGATATTTACACAAATATATGAATTTGTATGTGTCTTATATGTATATTCCGCCATATTGTTACACAAATAGTAGCAGACTATTACATTTGTTCAGGTCTTCTGAAATAGAGATGTCAAGGTGAGATGAGATGTGTAAGAAAGTTACTGGAGGGATTGCCTATGGAAGAAAAAATTCAGGAAGCTAGAGGAGGTGCAGAGGGTAGTTTCAGACTATAGCTCAGTTATAAGAAAGTTGAGCCAAAGTTGCTCATCAGAGGTGTCTAGTATCTCACAGAATGAATGTGGTTGGAAGCCTGCTGCCTTCAGTTTTATTACCACGAGCAGCCCGTGGAAGTGTGGCCTTAGGGTGAACGAATTCTGCGTCTAGCAGCTGGGGCACCTGTTATTTATCCTCTCGGCAGCAGATCAGAGTGTAGCCTGGTCCTGGCTGCCACAATCAAGCAATAGTCCTGCACTTTGGTCTTTTGTGTAACAGTCTATTTTGCTAATTGATCCATATCAGTACATAAAACTTCTTCATTGTTTTTTATTCTAATGTAGTATTTCACCATATCCTATCTAATAAAAGAGAAACATGGTAATTAGCATACGACCGCTACCCTTCCCATTGGCTAATCAGGGTGATATGCAAATTAACTGCCAGCCAAGATGGCGGCCGGCAGCCAGGCAGCTTGAAACTAACGTGAGGCTTTCTTGCCTCAGTGATGGAGGAAACCAACATTCCCCACCTGCCTTGCAGGCCTCTGAGCCTGCAGTTTGAAACATTTTAACAAATATAGAAGCTAAAAAAAAACCCAGAAACCTGCTTTCAGCCAGCCGGGATCTCAGAGCTGGAGTTATACAGAGTTTTGATCATAGAACC